CACACACACACACACACACACACAGGGGGGGGGGGGGGGCGCAACAGCGGTAATTAAAGTTTAAAACTCTCAAAAATGCTACAACTACTGTCACAAACTAGATGAATGTGAAGTGTTTTGTTAAAGGAGGATGAAAGCATAATTAAGGAGCACTATTGGAGTGACTTTGATGGTTACTGGACTCAGGATTAATTCCTTTGGATTCCCGCTGTATGAAGAAATTAAAGGACAGCGCGGAAGTGGAAACAATTCACAAAGGGATTAAACTGTTTAAAACACATGCTCAAAGTAAGCCGGATTTTGCCGATGTGTTTATGTGGATTCAAAAGTCGTAAATAATCTACAAAATGGAGGAGACCGATCTGATCGGGGCAACTGTGACAAATAATCTGACTGAAACCGGCATGGGCAATGACTATGTTTTAAAAATGCGCTTATCCAGAATAGCCCGGTTTGGACACTTTACGGGCAGAAGAAACATTTCTATTAAAGAAAGAATTATACATGTCTGTCTTTTTATGCCTTTAATAGCTACTAACTTGAATTGTTATTCAAATCAATTATTTTTTATATTTTATTGTAATGTAGAGACAAGGCTTTTAGTGATATTTGGCCTCAAATCATCTGAGGCCTGGCGCCATCTTTGGCGCCCCCCAGGTTGGGAACCACTGGTCTAAGTGATGTTTTTACATTTCAGTCCAACACCCAAAGGTATTCATTATATTTCAAACTAAAGCTGAACAAATATTTCCTGAAATGTTTGCATAGAAAGTTACTTTACTGATTAATCAATTAGTTGACTCATGGTTCTAGAATAAAATATAGCATCATGTAAGAGACAATCATTTGGATGTGGATGATGTTTCTGAAGATATGTCTGGTATATGGTTTAAACAAAAACAACATTATTAAAAATGTTAAGCATTCAAGTGTGTTACCAAGCTGTCACTCATGCTCTGCCCATAGTTACCATGGCACCCAACAGATGGAAGCTGACTACAAGCGACTGCTTCTAAAAATGATTCCTTAGGGAGTGACGTGCAGACACATGGCACTTTCAGTCAGTTTATATAAGTTCAGTATTGACAGGCTGTGTATATTGTAACTATAAAAACTTCCAGGATGGTTGTTATCATCAAGTTTCAAGCTATGGGGACTTTATATTTCAAAAAAACGATATATCCTTATGTATAAACTACTGAATTGGTTGGGTTTCAGTGTATGCAAATTGCAATCAGAGAGAAAATCCCCTGGTGAGCGTATTAAAACATTAATTTAACACTATCTAACAATGAAACAGATTCCTACTTGTCATTACAAAAGGCTATTGATTTATAGAGTGGGGGGGGACACACACATATTGTCTTTTGAGACATACACCCACTAACCATTCTTTCTCAAATGCGATAGTATGAAGAGGGGGCTCGGTCACACAGCTTAATTAGTTAGATGAAAAGTGATTTCCCGTTACAAGCAGTTTCCTGCCGTTCCGGTGAGGTGTGAATGTGTTTGTTGGCGAGAAGAGAGCCAGCTGTGTCTGTCACATGGCAGTTAGGCAGGTGTTCAACAACTCTGTCATAGCTTTATATCCATCGTCCCATCATGAAGCCACAGGAATAATCTATCAAATTGTTTGACATCTTTTTTGTCTATGAGGCCTTAAACATGTCTCTGTGTTTCTTTTGATCTTCAATAAGCCCATGTGAATGTCTGCTGTGATGGATAACAAAGGATAGCAAAGAAGAAATAATGTGGCTCTGACCTTTCACCTAACCCCTGGGGTTCATGGCCTAAAACTCACAAATGGTGGAGTCAATGTTTTTTTCCCCTCACACATCCCCCCCATTGTCCACTATGAAGTCACAACACTTCATAGAATTGAATCATGTTGGCTGTCAAGTTTTTTTTTCAAAGGTGAAACTTGATCAAAGGCAAGACAGGGAGCTCGAACCAACAGGCAGAAAACTTCTTCTCAACCAAAGGCTCTTTGTGGAGTTATTGTTGTTGTGTAAGTAGTCTCTAATAATTCCACACGGCGCACACAAATACTCACACATTCACACACACCTCCCCCAGATTTTGTACGGCTGCTTTGTAAGCTTGCCTATAGGAAGACCACCTGGTCAGCTTCCAGGCAAACAGATGGACCAGTCCTGTCTCCTCTTATTAATTTCAAAGTGAAGTGTGAAATACAGAAAATACATGCAAACAGCAGGCGAACAGTAGCCATCATTATCTCATACTTCAGATGACATCCGGATGAATTAGTAAAACCCCAGGAATAAAACCCTGAAAATTGGCATTAACATGAAATCCCATTCCATAAGAGTAATGAGTCCGGTTAATTGAATTTCCCCTTTTTTCTCTCCCTTTGATTATTTTTAGCACTAAGACAGAGATGAAGCAGACGCTGGACGTCACAGAGGTCGGATATTATTCTGCGATCCTCTCATTAGCGCTTCTCTCACCAAGTCATGGACAGATGAGAGAGTGGGCTGGTGCGATCAAATGATAGATGAAAAATGTACAGCAAAGACAAATCCACTGCAGCTGACCGTTATTTCTCATCAGTAGTTGTTTTTTATGTGAATTAATTATTTTATTGGAGGGAAAATCTCCACATTATATTAGCTTTGATTTATATGTTTTTCTCTGTCATAAAGAATACATTGCAGATATTAAGCTTAGAAATGTTCAGCATCCATTGAGATCAAGAGATCTGGGCTGCTACTTTTATACACTGTAAGTATAAAAACAAGTTGTTAATAGCTAGTGACTATGAAAGGATTTGTTAATAAGTTATATTCATTTAGAAGTGATGACATTTACATACTGATGCACACTCACTCACTGATCCACACAGTTTCTTCTCCTCAGTCTCTAATGGGATCATTTTATAAACCGGTTAATCTTGGCCGAGGGCTTAGTCAGATTAATTGCATTACAGGGCCGTTAATCCACGAAGGAATAATGATGGACTTAATAAAACAACACCTGGTTTCTACTCAGATGATATACAACCTAAACTGAAGGATGTCACATTTTTTGTAATGTAGTGAGAGTTAAAAATAGAGGTTATTTTACTCTCACTTCATTTGCTGATTTACAGTCTGGTTACACTTACATTCAAGTAAAATAGTTTGCCTTGAATTAATGAGAATAGAATCTAGAGAAATGAAAAACATATTAAGCCTAAAACTACAAATTGGGTGCGAGGACTTACGTCATTTCTGTTGGAGTTGAGGTAGGGACTGTACATTCACCAGGATCAAAACTCCAACCTTTGGTATTTAAAAATGAATCAGCTCAAGGAATCGTTGCTCCATTCACAGCTGATGGCAGATGTCAGCAGGTAAGGTCCGAGGTAAACACAGAACTCTGCTGACAGCTAGCAGCCCTCAGCTGTCCAACAGCTCTTCCAAAGCATCCAGAGAGGAGCGAGTCAACACAGCCAAGACGAGTCACAGCCAAAGCAACCTGAATTGCCCCATCCTGAAGTCTGCAAGCCCCCCTCAGCCCCCACCCCCTGACTCCACCACCAACACCACCACCCACAGCCAGCCACACACCAAGGCACACACACATCAGACAAATGTAAAAACAAAATGACAATAAAAAGTGGTGGGAGGAGTCAATATCTGAGTTTAAGAGTCAAATCCCTCAGGGACCCTCCATTCCCCGGACACTGTAATCCCTCCAGAGAGCACGCTCTCAGACTCATCAGGCTACATAGGACAGTGAGAGAGATGAGGTGATGATGCCTGCTAATGGTAACATGTCAACAGTAGTGCTTTGTTAGTAACCCTTTTGCTGAGCGAAGAATAAACGACAAAGGAATGATGGATAGAAGGGTTAATGTTTTAATGTCACAGTTTGTGAGCTTTGAGGTCATCCTGATGGACAGCAGATTAATGCTTTAATTACTCTTGAGCCACAGTGGTCAAAGAGGATATATAATAATGTGCACTAAGATCTCTGTCAATCGTTACGTCACACTCAACAAAGCCCAAATCATTATATGCAAAGATGTTATATCTAATGTTCTCAATAACGTCAATATATAGTCATTTTAAAAAAGACAGTTACGATTTTAAAGGTTTTGGCAAAAATGAGATGCATCCATTCAAGTCACATACAATCCAACATTCATAGATTTAAGTATCCCCACCATTCAACAAAACTCCTTAACTCCAAAGCCCAAATGACCGACGTGATTCATGTGAGGATGGTGTCACGCTGATTTCCTTCTAGTCTCCCAGCAGCATGGGACTTCACATCGTATAGAGCAGTATCACATTATTCTAATTAGGGAAATGTGTTGTAAAGCTATTTCCTCTTCAAATAAATGACCAACTGCACAACAAAAGCCAGAGGGATCCCATCCCTGTCGGCAAGGGTTGTGTCATGAGAAATCACTCATCCTAAATCCCTTGACACGTCATACTCATTGAAAGGGCCCTCTCAGGGAAGAGGCAGTATTTTCAGGATGAGAGCGAGAGAGAGAGAGAGGGAGAGAGAGGAAGGGGTTACACAGGGGAGTAAGAGGGACACCACAGGGAGAAGGGGGTACTGGGGTCACACCAGCACCTCTCAGCCAAAAGAGGGGCCTGTGAGGGGAAGGCTCAGGCAGCCATCCCTGCTTTTGGCTGGTACCATGTGAAGCTCGCTGCTTCCTCTCTCTTCCTACTGAAGGGCTTTGTTTCACACGCAAACAGCAGCAGTGGCCTCAACATGCCCGGCCAAGCGCTGCATCCAAACTGGCATGGGTGAGAAAAGAAGGGAGGGGGTTCGAACTGGAAGGGGTATAAGGGTATAGTGAGGGAGGGAGGGAGGGCAGTGGGCATGTCCAGAATGCCAGTTCTTTCAGGCCACTGATGTCATGCCTGTGCCCACCGTGGGAGAGCAGCGGAGGGACCAAGGCGCCCCTTTCTCTATCCCCCTCCACAGTCCCTTTTTCCACGATGAATGAATCTTTCAGAAGCGCCGGCCCATTGTGTCCCATAATCGACGGCGATTATCCCGATTTTATGCTGCCTTCCCAGTGCAAGGAGGTTCCCTGAGTGGTGGCATTGAGGACCGCTGCGATGCAGCAAGGACCACGAGGGGTTGTCCTAGCAACACTCTGCGGCTTAGAGAGAAGGGGATGAAGAGGAAAGAGGAAGCACACAGCCACACACACTCATATACACAATCAAAGGCACACACGAAATATTAAGATGGGAAACTTTAAAGATTAGCCGACAGGACGGCGTGTTATTTTTTTCCCCTCACCAAAGAAAGTTTAATTTCATAGACAGGTTAGTAATTCATTCATTTTGTTCTTTAATTATTTCTAAAACTTGACAGGATATGTCCCAAAAGGAGCTTCTTTAGTGTGCGGGCTGCATAATTGATGAGCTTCTGTGAAAGTCTTTGCCAACAATGCCACACTACCATCTACAACATGTGCTTACATAACAACTAACAAGTCAGCATTAATGACAGGTTGCGTGGTGATACTTATCTAATTCAGGTTGTTGGGAATCATGTGATAGCTAAGAGGAAGATGTAAATGAGAATACAAGTTTCCCACTGGTCTTTCGAGGGGCCCGGTGCCCGTTCTCATGACTGGAGCATCACAATATACTCTGAGGTAAAGACAACTGGAGCTGGGCCAGGCTCCGGATATATCTGCCCCCCCCCCCCACNNNNCCCCCTGGGACTCAGAGCCACTTGCCATGCAGTGGGAAGAAATGGACTCACACATACTGGGTGCCTAGGAGCTGTGAAAAGCCCCCACACCCCCAAAATGAAGCTCTCAGCAAACACTTCAGGTTGTGCTGTGCATAGGAAGTGAGAGATAAATTCCAGGATCTGAAGAAGGGGAAGCTTTGTCACTCTACGACTCCCACTTATGTATTCCTTGATGGTTGTGGGGATGAATGCATTCAGTGATAGATAGCAGTAGAGAGATGTGGGGACTGTCATGCAAATCTGGTTTATTCCATCAGCAGTGTAACCTAAACAGTAGCAAAACAAACACACAAGACCCTCTCAAAGTGCTGCTTGCTTAGACACAAAAGTAGAGGGGCAGTAGCCAAACAACTTTCCCATCAGGAAGCTGCCTTCAAACTTTGCTTAGATTTAACCCCAAATACCAAACCACAATCAATAATCCTCTTTTTCCCTGTATGCATTTCTCAAACAACGGCCCAAATTGAAAGGAGCTAGCTATTTTTCTTTCAATTCATCGAGACTACTTTCAAAGAATGTTAATGGTAAAGGTTCTCATCCGAAACACACAACCAACTCGGCCCAACCCCGGCGATACATATATATGTATCTATATCTATATGTAAGGATAGTTATATAGATATATCTCAGCAATCGACTCGAAAGCTGTCTTCAACAAATATTGTAACTGAACCCAGGAGTGAGAAGACAGTCGGATCAAAGAGTAACATAGAGGAAAAGGAAATGCACATGGAATAAAGCTGATTTTGCTGATATTCAGACAGGGTAATACCATGCAATTTGCTCAAATATAGTCCAATTTGAGCAGAACAATGTATTATGTATTATCTATAACTGACCTCTGTAATATTTGTATTCTTTGTGCAATTATGAATGGCTAAATTGAATGTGTGTGGGCTGTCTGTTCTTGATGGGTTAATCCTTCAATAGTAACAGGGCAAGGATTCAGTACCATGGTCAGTGACAGAGACTCAGGCCTCAGCTCAGAGCTGTAGTGCTGAAAGAGCTGCTTACAGTAGGTTAGCACGCTGCACTCCAGCATTGAAGCTATGAAAAGTTATACAGTCGTACACACAGTTGTTGACAAATTAGTAACACTATTCTACAAACTCTATACAGAGGGAGATAACGTTTCCAGAGAAAATCACTCAAATTGACCCCCTGGGAGCAAATATTTTATAGAGCCAATCTCCAGCCCAGTTTTCATGAGAAACAATGCTTCTGAGGAATGCATAATCAGCAGGAGATGTGACATTGAAACTCCTGCTGTGTTGCTTTCATCACATTTTTTACCATTCTGTTTTACAATCAGGCTGCATCAGCATGCTGGCAACGCATGATTAAACCATACAGTACGTGTCTGTCCCTCAGCATCCTCTAAGGTTTCCCTTTGTTTGGCACAACGCTTTGTGTCCATAATGAGGCAGTCATTAGAGAGAGCCTCTGGGAATCCTGAGGCTAGCGTTGTAGTTTGCATATGTCCCTCAGATGTGACCAGTCGTACTGTAATTATGTGCTAACAGCCTATTATGCTGGGTAGTGGCTGTTATAGGGCTGCTTTGGGTAATTCCCATTCATCTGTATAATATCTGCAAAGGGATTTAGTTTGATGGAATTTAATCCAACTGCAAGCAACTTCACAGTCAGAGGTAAAGTAAGTTTACTCATCCTCACGTCTTTCGCTTTCTACCGTCTTTCTTGTGTTCAAAGATACACACAAACACTCAACCATATTTCTCAACTCGTGCAACTCTCAGTCTTTCTTCCATCACCTTGAAATAGTCTTAATTGTCATGCTATGTTTTCAGAAGTGTCCTTCTAAGCTGCAACCAAATACATGTTGTGACAGCCCATGCAATAACCCAGCCCCAATATATTGCCTAAAGCTGCACCTATAGAAGATCATCTGAGAAAAGAAGTGCATCCATAGTCATGTGAAATATTCCCACTGTTCCTCCCCACGGCCTCCTCTATTTGATGAGGGGCTACGCCTATTGCAGACAAACGCGCATGTTCCTCCTATAGCTGCTCCTGTGTTCACGTCGGCTGCATATGAAGTGATGCTAGTGTCATTAGCAAAGGCGCATCTGTTTAAGAGAGCTGGCTATATAGCCGCACGCAGCTTCTGATGGCTTTGGTCAGATCCCCATAGGAGCTCATTAAATCTGTCAGTAAGGCAGGACCACCCCACCCCCTATACACTCCTCGCTATGGTATACCCGCTACAATGTTGTAAGGGGGATGACAGTGGTGGGGGGGAGGGGGAGCAGCAGTAATTCCATATAAAGATAGATGTGTTACAATGTATGGGGGAAGGGTGGAGGAGAAATGGGGGAGGGTGGAAAAAGGAAGGTGTGGCTGATGAAGGTAGGGATGGAGACAAAGACAGGGAATTGCAAGCAGATGAGAGAAAAAACTGAACATGGAGAGAAAGGGTTAGACAAAGGTTAAAGATTAAAGCAATCAATTGAAGTAGAGAATGAGATGGAGCATGTCTCTTCATCCACAGTGTATGAAGGGGCTTCTGTTTTATCAGGTTATCTGTGGGTACATGAAGAGCTGACATCTGTGTTGGGCAGCTGGCCCTGTGAAATGGGATTAGTGCACAAATCACGTTTCATACTTCACTAGACTCACCTGCTACACTCTCAAATTTATATATACTCAGACGATACGCGTACTCTCACTGTCTAACCCACTTCCTGCTCACATTTGTGTCGGTACAATATGTGTAAATGCTAACA